CTTCCGGTAATGAAACAGAATCTGTTCCCCCTACATCAATTTCATTAGAAATTATGAAACACCTGTCACCTATCATCATCAGTTTATACATATTTCAAGTTTTTCTGATGAACAAATGTAATACCATAAAGTCCATATGTCCACATTTCTGGGAGGGGAGATTCCACGTGGTTCTTGAGTTACCTGTCTGGACTCCTTTCTACATTTATGCCACCTTCTGTCAATCTAATTACTTCTCTAAGAAGCGGCTGTTCTCAGTTCACTGTATGACAATTGCTGCCTTGTGAAAACATCCCAGAAGCCTCTGCAGTCAATTGATCTACCCCAAAAGTGTCACTCTCACCCAGAAAGCTGACTTCACTATACAGACTTACTCATGATTTACAGAGTTCTCTGAGCGAAGAGTTTCTTAGGTATGTAGCAAGAGAAGTTGGTGGCTTCCTAATCTTGACATGTGTAATAAATCTTTATAAAGCAGTCAGTCAGCTGAGATACACTTAGGTATATCCAGGACTCTAGTCCTTGCAAAAGAATAATGATTTAAGTACCTACCAGTGTCAGATTACCCATTTAGCAAGGTAAACACGGGCTTAATTGTGCTTAATTACTAATCTGTAGTAAACAATTTCACATTTTTTCAACACATGAAAAATTCTCCTTGTAGATGTGATTGGCATCTGTCTCTCTCCCAACTCTACAGCACCTTCCGATAGAATCAAAGCCTCTTCAAATTTATGATCCCTGACAGGGATGGAGGAGCCAGTAATAAGCAATGTAAGCACAAGCTTACTTGTGCTTACTTACTAATCTTAGTGAACAATTTCACATGTTTTTCACCACATCAAAGAACATTAGAACCAAAAAACTACTGCCATCAAGTTGATTCCAATGCCATCATAATTACCCTATGGTAGTGGTGGTTATGTGCCGTGGAGTTGGAACCGACTCATAGTGACTCTGTATAGGGTTTCCTAGGCTGTAAATTTTTACGGGAGCAGAATGCCTCATCTTTCTCCCGTGGAACAGCTGGTTGGTAGTTTCAAACTGCTGACCTTAAGATTCGCAGCCCGATTCATAACCACTACGCTACCAGACTGAGTAGAACTGCTCTCCAGGATTTCTCCGACAGTTTTATTTTTCTCCTGCTGAACAGCTGCTGAGTTTAAATCACTGACCTTGAGGTTAGCAGTCCAGAGCTTAACCTGCCGTGACACCAGGGGTGAGCCCATGTGAAATTGTTCAATACTTATTAGTAAGTAAGCAAAGTAAGCCCACACTTACCCTGTCTGTTGGGTAATCCACCCCGATACATACATTACCTGACCAGTGAAATTTGTAAAACATCAGACGAGCTTTAAAGGTTAGGAACAGAGATTTTGATTTTGCTAGAAAAGGTCTGAAGGAATAATGCTTACTTATTCTTTTAGTAATCTGTTCAAGTTATACTGAATATTCATTACTGTGATAAAGACAGACATGGTTGAATCTGATCGTAATGCCTTTGTCATCATTAAACAGCTGTAGATTTTTAATATGATAAAGATAGAACTGCTCTTATAGTTTCACATTCACACTGTGGTATTCAAGTTTGTGCCATCACTTCCATTTTCAGAGCTTTATAATTCTACCATAATCATTTGTTCTTGGCAGAAAAGTTATACAAGCTCTCAGCTGAGGATAATATTTTTGAACATTTTTTCCAGTTCTGATTATGTGATTATGGGAATTTGGAACCCAATATTAATTTGCTCTGGGTTTTTGTTTGTGTATCTCGAAATGCTCCTTCTTTAAATAACACAGTTTAGCTTGAAGTAAGACAAGAGTGTATCTTTAGCTGCCAGGGATATTTTACTACTTAAATACTGATGATATTCTTTACAGGATAATGTAGTTAAATACAAGAAGAGTTTTTTATAAGAAAGTGAGCCACTGATGTCTCCCTCCACACCCCGATCGTTGCCATTTCCTCTGTGACTTCATTCCACCTTCTTTTTCTGCTTAATAGTTGATAATTCAAGTACAAAGCGAGCTGGTGATCTAATTGATTTCTTAATCCATAAGCTGCTAAGTGTTCTATTGACTAATAGGCATTTCCACCCTAACTAAAATTTGACATCTAAGAAATATCAATATTTTAGTCATGTTCTACATACTTTAAAAATTCCCAAATAAATTCTACTTAATTTATTACAACTGCTAAACCAGTTGCCATCAAGTTGATTCTGATTTGTGATGATTCCATCCATGTATGTTAAAGTAGAACTGTTTTCCATAGGGTTTCCAGTGACTGATCTTTCAGAAGTAGATCACTAAACCTTCCTTCCAAGGCACTCTAAGGGGACTCAAATCGACAACATTTCAGTCTGCAGCCTAGCATGTTAACTGTTTGCACCACCCAAGGTCTCCTCTACTAATGTGGTTGAATATGAGTGGGAAGAGTCCACACCACCCACTTAGCAGATGTGCAACTTAGGATATGGGAACGGCAGGCCCCATTTTGCTCCAAACAGAAGGAAAAGCCACACTGCCTATGCCTGAGCCCTGATGCTTGTCCATGCTGGCTTGAAACTAGGCATAAGGTTTCCCTAAAATCTTCATAGGAGGCCTCTGAGAGATAATGAGTTAATATTTGTGGAGATCTTTCAATAAAGTAAAATGCATGTTTGAATTTTTATAAGCCAAACACAATATCTACCCTCAAAAGCTTTGTAAGAATATTTAGCACACATGCATGTGCCAGATGGATTGTAATGACAGTTGATAGGCCTCTCTTAACCCTTGCGTTCTGTTGTCAAAAATCTGCACATCAAAACAACTATAATTTTTACAATAAGATTTATTGGATAAATGATTTGGGTGCACAATTTAAAAAAATCTGTCTAGATAGGACTATAAGTTAATGCTATATAAGATTTTAAATTTTTATATAATTTTTAAGTATGAGTTACAGAAACCTTAAATTCTTAACTAATTTTGAAAACTATCAGAACATTTTCTTGCTCTTACATATTCTTCTGCATGTGATTCTTATGAAAAAGTATGGTGTATGATGCAAGACACTCAGAAATCATTCTTAAAAGCTCAAGGACATGCAGAGATCAAAGCAAAGTCACATCGTAATACAACAAGTAGTTATCATTCCGAAGAATGCTCTTGTGGTTGAGATAATGCTAATGAAAGACGTAAAAACCTAGGAAACAAAGTTAGTCAGTAAAATTATGATCATGATGTCTTCTGACATCCTTTATAGTGTTATTGTAGAACCCCTCTGGAAGTACTTAATTTGGGTGAAAACGAGGGCTGTAGATCCATGATAGGAGGACAGGTGGCCCCACCAATTATAAATTCCCTAAGATGGTAAATGTATATTTTTTTCATCTTGTGTCAAAATATTTTAATATTCAAGCATTTTACCACATAATAAGCTGTAACCATATGTTTATTTGTTATATTATACCACTATAACATTAATAAATATTTACAGAGCTGCGGTGCATCGTAAATGTATTAGAAATGGATTAGTCTGATTTTAAGTGAAAATCATCAGTGCCTCTGAAACGAATTTTAAATACTGTTACATTTGTTACACATCGATAGGAGCCAAGGAACTTAAGTTTTTAAGAATGACACCCCCTTTTTAAATCGTGTCATTTTATTTATTTTCCCAAATGCATGAATTAAAGATGGAGTGTTATCTCAGTTTTGAATTCCGTAGCTTGATGTCACAGCTTTTGCTTTATTTGTATGTGAATTCTGTTTTTAATAAAGATGAGTTCTGTTGAACTCTCCATTAATGAGAGGCACTTTGGTGCACATCTCTTTATAAGACAGTTTGAGAGTACCAGGAAAATTCTGTAATCTTGCTAGCCTGTTATTAATTTATGTGGAAAGCTATATGATTAATAAATTTTATGATCTATAAAACTTAATGTTATCTCCATAAACTGGTTTGTGTACATCGAAATTGAGAATCATCAGTTTAAAAAAGAAAGAAAAGGAAGTATAACTCAGGACTCCTGACTCATACTTTTTTTCTAGTTGTTACAGTGTTACTTTAGTATTTATCATTTTGTGACAGCTGAGACTAGACCAGACCTACGTTCAGGAGACAGGAGGTTCAAGATAAGGTACTGACTTTTCACTTTCATGTGTCAGGAGACCGTCTCCGGGTGATTCCTACTCAGCTGAAACCAGGAGGAACTTTTGCTAGTTAGGTGGTTATTGACTTGGTTACCTATTTTCAGTGTTCTTTGGCTTCTTTACTCAGTCCAAGATAATGAAGCCCTAAGCTCAGCTGTTTTGACTTTTCTTTCAGCCTATCTTTAGGCAGATAAATTCTCTGTATTCTAATTTTCGGTGCATATTTTCACATAATGTAGAACTCTTTACCAGACTAAACAAAAGTAACTCTCCAAATGAGTGCAACATGTGAGCATTTTTTTTTTTTTTTTTAATCATCGTTTGGTGATCCCTTTAGCTAGGTCCTCTTGCTGTCAAATACACATCAAAATGGGGTCAGAGGACATCTTCATGCCAGCCACTGTGTCCGATTCAAATCAGGGATCTGTTTTCAGCATTTCTGTTTTTGTCATGATCACAGATTCTGAAATCATTGTGTAATGTCCTGACTTCTAATTTTTCTGTGGGAAGATGAGAGTGTTGCAATTTGGCTCCTTCATTGTGTTCTGCTGCAATTGTCTTTCACTAGATCTCCGGAGCACATATGAACTCCCTATCACAAAACTGCCACCCTCATATCCTCTTTGTTCATTGACTAAATTTAGTTGCAAAAAGAATATTTCTCTTAATATTCAACTGTTTAATTTATTTAATGAGCATGTTATTGAACTGACTCACGGTTCCTCGCTGTGCTTTCTTTAATGTAATCTAGCATATGTACTAACAACCTGAAGTACCGGACAGCTTGAACTTCTGTAACACCCCTAAATGTCTCTTACAGCCTTTCTCTAGGTTTGAACTTTCCAAATTATGTATTTCAGACGTTGAGAAAGAAGGGACTTAATGGCTGTGACAGTCCAGACCCTGATGCAGACGATTCAGTAGGTCACAGCCCTGAGTCTGAGGACAAGTACAGGAAAATTAACGAAGATATTGATCTAATGATCAGCAGGCAAAGATTGTGTGTAAGTATTCAGCACACCCTTCATTTTGTTTACTCTTGATATTTCTCTGAACCTGGCAGGCATTGAACAAGAAAGAAAACAAAGGCTGTGAAAGCCCCGATCCTGACTCCTCTTATGCCCTCACCCCACGCACTGAAGAAAAATACAAAAAAATTAATGAAGAATTTGATAATATGATCAAGAGTCATAAAATTCCTGTAAGTACCAAGGTAGATGGCTGGTCTGCTGATAACTGCTGCAGTAACATACCTTAACCCTTTCAGTGATGGCTTTCTTCTAAGAAGCATTGGAAAGTCAAGCCAATAAAATAGCCATCTCACTCTACAGGCAGTTCGTTTAAAAAGCAATCCCTAGGGGATGCTAACATTATGTAACCTAAAAAAGTTGCCATCAAGAAGTTCATTCTGAGGTAGAAAATCCCCAGGAGGAAGAGAGTGTGTACCACACCCTGAATTTGCACATGATTTTAAATGCATAGTCCACACAAATGGCAATACTAGAATCTCCTTCTGAAACGCTAGAATTGCCTTCTGAACAGCTTAAAGATTCATATGTGTATATATATGTATGTATGTATTATAATGAATCTTTAAGCATATAGGTATGCATCGCTTAACGTCTGTTCAGGCAACGTCCAAATGCACATACATCTGTGGTCCCATAAGGTGTTGCTTTACTTTTTTTTCTTTTTTAAAAAAAAGGAAAGCAGCTCCCTTTTGTTTATGATTCCCCCCTAATACTTTCAAAGACTCCCAAACTCCAGAGAGAATAAGCAGCGGGGCTCAGACAGAGCCTAGTTTCCTCCTCTACCTGCACCTTCCCTCCTTCCTCATGCTTCATTCACCTGCTCATCAGACATGACATTTTTCACTCTTGGTTCAGTGCAGTGCCTGAATTGGCTTCTCCACTCGTGCCACAGGCGTAGGTCACTCACTATCTCCTGGCTCTGGACAGTGGTGGCCACAGTGGCTGGGCTGCACGTGATCAACAAGTAGCCTCACCAGTAGTGCCGTAGCAAACAAGGCTGCCACCACCAGCCTTGCTCCCGGAACCTGCACACTAGGTCCCTTTGCCAACTGTCCACCCCGTACCCCTTAGCCTAGATGTGTGCACAATCTTAATCCAACTTCTGGCGCCACCTGGCCCAGCTATGCACCTAGGAAAAACACCTTATGAGACAATGGATACATGCTCTTGAGATTTGTCTGGTAGGATCCAATAAGGTTTAGCTTTACGGAGAATTCATTATGGATTGCAGAGGCACTGTCTGTCTCACAGTGTCCAAATCACATAACATCCTATTTCACAGACGTTTCATGGATGTTAAATGGTGCATACCTATACGTGTGTGTAGATACACACACTGATGTGGCACTGTAGGATCAGCACTGGACTGCAAACCACAGGTCAGCAGTTCAAACCCACCAGCTGCTCCTTGGAAACCCTACACAGGGTTGCTATGAGTCAGAACCGACTCAGCAACACTCAACAACAACAATATACATACACATTCGTACATTTACAAGGGAGCTTCAAAGAGTACGTGGAAAAATGGAATTAAAAGATAATGGAATTTTTTCTACAGGCTTTTTGAAGATATATATATATATATTCCACATGAGTGAACTTAACTCTCATGTAAGCTGAGAATTATCACCTAAATAAAAGTTCATTTCTGTATAAAATGCCAGCCCTTTCCCAGACCATGAATTCCACAACACTGAAGGGTTAAAGCTAATGCTCGCTGCAGGGAAACAGACTTGCATGAAAATCTAATGGTAAGATCTCAACATGTTTGTGTGCTGGGGTGATTAAAAGCTTTATCAGTATATTCGCTTTGCCTACACCAGCATTTTCCATGCTTAACATTTGGCTAAATTTTGTCTTAACCAAGTAAAACAACAACAACAACAACAACAAACTCTAACTATTGGTCATATGCCTTGCCAGATATTAAAGAGAAATAACTGCATGTATTATTTTGTTTGCCCACCTATATAGAGGAAAAATGACATTTTTTTTTATTATATTCTGTCAAAAATCAAGAGATGTTAATTTTATAGCACAGAGTGTTGAAACACAAGGCAACATGCTTTCTGAATAATTAATGTTAGCATCTGAACCCTAATTGTATATAAGCTCCTTGGTGGTGGTTATGTGCCGTGGAGTCAGGTCCGACTCATAGTGACCCTGTACAGGGTTTCCAAGGCTGTAAATCTTTATTGGAGCAGAAAGCCTCATCTTTCTCCTGCAGAACAACTGGTAGTTTCGAACTGCTGACCTTGCGGTTCACAGCCCAATTCGTAACCACTACACTACCAGAGTTCCTTAGGAGTTAATTAATTCTCTTCTCAAAAATAAGTCTAATCCTGAGGATTGAGATACTCTCTGCAGTGAAACTGTGCTTTGGCAATGACTAGTGCAGCTATTTGGACAAAGACTTTAAACCAAATCCACAACTGAACTCACAAGACACATTAATGATTTACACTTAGTAAGTACACAATCAACCTATATAGAATTAAGTTGAACATACTAAAACTTACTTTTTTTAATGTATACACAATTCAACTTTCTGTCCAAAAAGTACATGTCTGGTTCCGTTGCTAAGTGAAACTATACCCAAAGTACAGCTTTTGTTAAATCAGAGTTATTTGTACACTGTATTGTTGTAGGCTATTGTTGTTGTTAGGTGCCATGGTGTCGGTACCAACTCATAGCGACCCTATGTACAACAGAACGAAACACTGCCCAATTCTGGGCCAACCTCACAATTGTTGCCACACTTCAGCCCATTGATGCTGCCACTTTGCCAGTCCATCTTTCTGGGACTCTTCTTCTTTTTCTCTGACCCTCCACCTCACCAAACATGGCATCATTCTGCAGTGACTGGTCCCTCCTGACAATATTTCTGAAGTATGAGAGATGAAATTTGGCCATCCTGGCCTCCAAGGAGCATTTCTTCCAACACAGATCTGCTTGTTCTTTTGGCAACCCATGGCACTTTCAGTATTCTCCACCAACACCATAACTCAAAAGCATCAATTCATCTACGATCTTCCTTATTCACTGTGCCGCTTTCGCATGCATATAAGGTTATTGAAAATACCATGGCTTGGGTCAAACACACCTTAGTCTTCAAGCTGACATCTTTGCTCTTCAACACTTTAAAAAGGTCTGTGAAGCAGACTTGTCTAATGCAATACATCGTTTGATTTCTTGACTGCTGCTTCCATGAGTGTTCATGGTTGATCCAAGAAGAATGAAGTCCTTGACAACTTCTATCTTTTCTCCATTGATAAGAATGTTGTTTATTGGTCCAGTGGTGAGGATTTTTGTTTTCTTTACATTGAGATGCAATCTATAACGAAGGCTGTGGTCTTTGATCATCATCAGTAATTTAAGTCCTCTTCACTTTCAGCAAGCAAGGTTGTATCATCTGCATATCGCAGGTTGTTAATGAGCCGTCCTCCAATACTGATGCCACATTTTTCCTCATATAACTCATCTTCTCGAATTATTTGCTCAACATACAGGTTGAATAATTATAGTGAAAGAATACAACCCTGTCACACACCTTTCTTAATTTTAAACCAGTGAGTGTTCCATGTTCTGTTCAAACATCTGCCTCTTGGTCCAGGTACGGATCCCTCATGAGCACAACTAAGTGTTCGGGAATACTCATACTTCTCAGTGTTGTCCATAGCTTGTCATGATCCACACAATCGAATGCCTTTGCGTAGTCAATGAAACACAGGTAAACACCTTTCTGATATTCTCTACTTTCAGTCAAAATCCATTTTACATCAACAATGATATCCCTCGTTCCACATCCTCTTCTGAATCCAACTTGAACCTCCTGAAGTTCTCTGTCAATGTATGCTTGCAGCATTCCATTGAGTCACCTCTCTTTGGAATGGGCACAAATGTGGATCTCTTCCAATCAGTTGGCCATATAGATGTCTTCCAAATTTCTTGGCATAGATGAGTGAGTGCCTCCAGGGCCACCTCACTTTCTTTAAAGATTTCAATTTCTATTACATCAATTCCTAGTTCCTTGTACTTTGCCAATTCCTTCAGTGCACCTTGGACTTCTTCCTTCAGTATCATTGGCTCTTGATCATATACTACCTCTTGAAATGGTTGAACATCAACCATTTCCTTTTGGTACAGTGACTCTGTGTATTCCTTCCATCTTCTTTTGATGTTTTCTGCATCATTCAATAATTTCCCCAGAGAATCCTTCAATAATGAATGTCTAGGCTTGAATTGTTGAAATAGGTTCTAACTCATATTAATTCTGCATACAATAGAACAAAACACTGCCCAACCCTATGCCTGCCTCATTATCAGTGCTGTGTTTGAGTCCATTGTTGCAGTCACTGTATGATGCTGTAGGAGAAGCACTGTACTGCTAACCACAAGGTAGGTGGTTCAAATCCACCAGCAACTCCTTGGAAACCATATACAGTGGTGCTATGAGTCAGAACCAACTCGCACTTAACCGCACTTAACAACAACAACATACTTTATCAAGCATAGTGTTCTTCTCCAGAGACTGGTCCCACCTGATAGCATGTCCAAAAAATAAGATAGAATCTTACTGTTCTCCTTCTATGGAGCATTTTGGCTATATCTCTTTCAAGACAGATTTGTTCCTTTTTCTGGAACATGATATATTCAATATTCTTCACCAACACCATAATCCAAAAGCATCAATTCTTCTTTAATTTTCCTTATTAATTGTTCAGCTTTCACATGCCTGTGAGGCAATTAAAAATACCATAGCTTGGGTTAGGCACACCTTGGTCCTCAAAGTGACATCTTGGCTTTTTAACACTTTAAAGAGGTCTTTTGCAGCAGATTTAATCAATGAAATATGTCATTTAATTTTTTGCTGCTTCCAGGGGCATTGATTAAATCCTTGACAACTTCAATCTTTTCTCCATTTATCAAGATGTTGCTTATTGTCCCATTTATGAGGATTTTGGTTTTGTTTA